TGCCGTCAGGGTGAAGGCACGAGGTCGTGCTCCTGCGGCCAACTCGTCAATGAGCTTCTCGTGCACTTCTTCGTCAGGCACGTGGCAGTTCACCAGTTCTTCGGCTTTCTGAGGGGTCAATTCACGGTACCACGTCTCCTGTTGATGAATATGCGCGTGATCTCCCACGAACTCCCGTTCGGACCGCCGGAGGCGTTTCGAGCATCCTTTTACGGATGCACAAATGTAGTACCTCAGTTGTTTGGTTGGAAAACCTACCTCCGATAACATTTATACGTTCCAAGAACACTCTCACACATCAACCCCAAACCTACGTTGCTCGGCTAAGACGCCCAAAGAAACAAATCTTTCGAATCCAAGACACATGGCTCACATCAGCCCAGAAAGTTTGCATATGACTATATATAGCATGTGCCTCAGCCTGGAAATCCACCGAGGCGTCCGGGTGTCTCGATCTAGTATCCATCCCCAAGTTTCAACTGGCGGTGGCGAATTGGAGGTGATAGGTGCATTGTAAAAGGGGTTAACGATGCTGGGTGAAAGGGGAAAGCCCCGCCGCTGGCACACTCGGAAAAAATCACAATTTTCCATTTCAAACCCAGACCCCTTGTCGGCTGGAGATCAGGGTTCCCTCATGGTGTTGTTGCTGTTTTGGTTGCTGTCGCTATCACTCTGGCTATTGCTCCTGGTGGTGGTGGTGGTGGTGGTGGTGCTGCTGCTGCTGCTGCTGGTGCTGATGCTGGCTGCTGCTGCTGGTGCTTCCGCTGTCGCTGCCGGTGCCGCTGCCGTTGCTGCTGCCGGTGCCGGTGCGAGAGCGAGTGCTGGTGGTGCCGCTCCTGCTGCTGCTGGTGCTGCTTGCTGGTGCTGCTGCTGCCGCTGCTGCCGCTGACGGTGCCGGTGCCGGTGCCGGTGCCGGTGCCGGTGCCGCTGCTGCTGCTGCTGCTGCTGCTGCTGCTGTTGCTGGTGCTGTTGCTGTTGTTGGCGCTGTTGCTGCTGTTGTTCTTCTTGCTGTTGCTGTTGCTGTTGCTGTTGCTGGTGCTGGTGCTGGTGCTGTTGCTGTTGCTGCTGCTGTTGCTGCTGCTGCTGCTGCTGTTGTTGTTGTTATTGTTGCTGCTGCTAATGGCTGTCGTTGTTATTGTTGCTGCTGCTAATGGCTGTTGTTGTTGTTGTCGTTGCTGCTGGTGCTGCTGCGGCTGATGCTGTAGCTGTTTCTGGTACTGTTGCTGTTCCTGTTGCTAGCGCTGTTGCTGTTGTTGTTGCTGCTGCTGCTGCTGCTGTTGCTGTTGCTGTTGCTGCTGTTTTTGTTGTTGTTGTTGTTGTGGTTGAGGTTGTGGTTGTGGTGGTTTTGGTTTTGGTTGTGCTTGTGGTTGTGGTTGCGGTTGAGGTTGCGGCTGTGGGTGTTGCTGTTGTTGTTGCTGCGGTCGTGGTCGTGGTCGTGGTCGTGGTCGTGGTCGTGGTCGTGGTCGTGGTCGTGGTCGTGGTCGTGGTCGTGGTCGTGGTCGTGGTCGTGGTCGTGGTCGTGGTCGTGGTGGATGTGGTTGCGGTTGCAGTTGCGGTTGCGGTTGCGGTTGTGGTTGTTTGTTGTTGTCTGTAGTTAACTGTTGTTGTTTGTTGTTGTTTGTAGTTAACTGTTGTTGTTGTTGTTGCTGTTGTTGTTGTTGTTTGTTTGCTTGTTTTTGTTGTTGTTTGCTGTTTGTTGTTTGTTGTTTGTTGTT